GCTGCATGCAGTCAATAGCAAAAATGTTCTCCACCGAATTCTACTATAAATCGTCCTGCAAAAGAAATCTCTAACTATAGTTCAAATCGATGAAATACCGATATAAAACTGGAGTTTTTTAAATAAGTCAATTTTCCATCTTTATCGACCTTTTCCGAATTGTTCGAGATTTGACCCACAACACCTCTTCCTAGAGGCATGCAGTCAATGGAGAAAATATTCTCCATCAAATTTCACTATAGGCCGTCCTGTAAAAGAAATTTGTAGCTATAATATTTATCAGTGAAATATGGGTATCAACTAAAGACTTTTAACTGAAAATCTCTAAAATAGAAAAAATTAAAATTAACCAAAGAAAATTCGAACCAAACTGAAAGCAACCAAGTCTAACTAAAAAAAAATCGAATTAACCGAAAAAAATCCAAATCTAACATAAACCAACCAAATTTAAAATAATAAATAAAACAAAAAAATTTAATTATTTTTTTTTATAATTTTTTTTCTTAATAAAAAAATCAGTTTTTATTGCAATTTTCGTTTTCATTTCGTAATGGTTTTTTGTTTGCGTTTTGTTTCTTATTTAGGATTATAATAAATTCATGGAGTTGTGTGTGTGTGTTTTTTACGCAATAATAATTATAATAATTAATAATAATAATAGTAGTATAGGTAGGTAGGATTAAAAAGGTTTCGTTTGTTTTACACATAAGTTATAAATATTATTTTTTTTGTTTATTATATATATATATAATTTTTATATATAATTATATTAAAATTATAGAGAATATATTTAATATTGATTTTTTAAAATAAAAAATGAAATTAAAATTTATATATAAGAACTTTTTACAACAATTATGATGAGTAAGGGTATGTATGAGAGAGAGAGGGAGAGGAAGAAGAAGAGAGTAAAGAAATAAAAAATTTAATTTTAATTAACAAAAGAAAAATATGGAACACAATAAAAAATAAAAGAAAATTAAATAATTTTTAATTAAAAAAATAATTTTTTTAATAAAAAAATAATTTTTTTTAAAAAAAAATTTTTTTTAATTAAAAAAATAATTTTTTTAACAGAAATTTTTTTAATTAAAAAATTAATTTTTTTAAAAAAATAATTTTTTTTAATTAAAAAAAATTTTTTTTTAATTAAAAAAATATTTTTTTAATTAAAAAAATATTTTTTTTAATTAAAAAAATATTTTTTTAATTAAAAAAATAATTTTTTTAATTAAAAAAATAATTTTTTTAATTAAAAAAATATTTTATTAACAGAAATAATTTCTTTAATTAAAAAATTAATTTTTTTTAATTAAAAAATAATTTTTTTTAATTAAAAAAATTAATTTTTTTTAAAGAAAAAAATTTATTTTTTTAATTAAAAAAATAATTTTTTTAATTAAAAAAAATTTTTTTTTTTTTTAATTAAAAAAAATTTTTTTAATTAAAAAATTTTTTTTTTTTTTTTTTTAATTAAAAAAATATTTTTTTTAATTAAAAAAACACTTTTTTAAATTAAACAAATAATAATTTTTAATTAAAAAAATATTTTTTATAATTAAAAAATATTTTTTTAAAAAAAAATTATTTTATTTTTTAATTAAGAAAATATTTTTTTTAATTATAAAAAATATTTTTTTTAGTTGAGCTTAAATGCTTTTTATCTGGGGTTGGTTTTGAAATTTTTTCTTCTTCTACCTTCATTTCTTTGTTTGAATTTTTTTGTTTTGCTTATTTTTGTTTCTTTTGTTGTTGTTTTTTTTATTTTCTGGAAAAGAAAAATGCATTCATACAAGACTTTTTTGGATTTTCATTTTTTTTTTGTTTTCGTTACTTATAATTATTATTTTTTTTAAATACATATTTTTTAATTTTATTTATAATTACTTTTTATTTATAATTATTTTTATAAATTACTATTTACAATTGTTTTTTTTTCTTTGTTGTTAGTTTTTAACTTAATGTTAATTTTCTTTTTAATTTTAAATTAGTTTTTTATTTTTATTTCATATATATATAATATTATAAACTTTTATTTTCTTTGTATAGGTTTTCTTTTTTGTTATGGTTGTGTATGTGTGTGTTTGGTTGGGGAGGAGAGGGAAAGGTTTTTTTGTCTCTAAAAAAATTATGAAATTTATTTTTTACAATTTAATTTAATTTTTTTTATTTAATTTTTTTTTTGATATTTATTCGATTGTTTTTGTAGTAGTAGTACTGTGGTGTGGAAAATATATAGAGGGTGGGGGTATGGTACCAAAGGGCTTTGAAAAAGGTCCCTAAATTTTATTTTCAGAAAATTTGCACTGGGCTTTTTGTTATTTTTTTCTTGAGACCCTAGGGTATCCCTTTCCTGTTTTTTTCTGGTTGGCCCTTTTTATTGTTGTTGTAAATTTTGTATTATGGCTTTTGCATGTTGTTGTTGTTATTTTTCTTTTATTTTTTTGGCAGTGGCAGTTTCCATGGTTTACCCTTTTTAATTTTCATCACGGTTATTATTTCTATTTTCGTCTGTAGATTTGTTTTTAATTTATTTTTTTATTTATTTGTTAATTTTTTTATAAATTTAAGTCAGTCTATTTTTAAGAAAAAAATTAATATATATATATATTTTTTTTTAAATGAAATATTTTTTAAACAATTAATTTTTTTTAAAAAAATTAAAATTTTTTAAAAATTCAATTTTTTTTAAAAAAATTAAAATTTTTTAAATTATTTTTTTTAGAAAATTATTTTTTTTTAATTAAAATTAAAAAAAACGAAAAATATTCCTTTTTAAAAAATTAAAAAAAGTAAAATTTTTGTCTTTGGAAAAATTTTAATTTTTTAAAAACAGTTAATCTTTTTATTAAAATTTTTTAAATTCAAAATTTTTAAAAATATATACTCAAAATTTTTTAAAAAATTCAAAATCTTTAAGAAATTCAAATTTTTTTAAAAAAATTTTAGAAATTTTTAATCTTTTTTAAAATACCTTTAGTTAAAATGTTTTCAAATTAAAACAAGTAAAATTTTTCTTTCTAACAAAATTTAATTTCTTAAAAAAATGTATTTCATTTAATTAAACATCTTTTAATTAAAAAAATTAATTTAAAACAAATTGTAATTAAAAAAATATTTTTTTTTAAATAAAAATATTTAATCTTAAAAAAGAATTTAATTTTTTTTAAAGAAATATTTTAAATTTTTTATTTTTTTTAATTAAATTTTTTTTCAAATTAAAATAAGTAAATTTTTTTCTTTTAAAAAAATTTAATTTCTAAAAAAATTGAATCTTTTTAATTAAACATGAAAAAAATATAAAATGTATCTTTATTAATTTTTTTAATTAAAAAAAATTGATTTAAAACAAAATGTAATTTGAAAAACATTTTTAACCTTTTTGAAAAATTAAAAAAAATCAAAAATTTGTTAAAAAAATAAATTTTTTAAATTCAAAAATTTTTTTTAAAAAATTCAAAAAATAATTTTTTTTAAATTCAAAAAAACATTTTTTTAAGAAAATGTTTCAATCGTTTTAAACTATCTTTAATTAAAATTTTTTCAAATAAAAAAAAAGGAAAAATTTTTCTTTTGAAAAAAATGAATTTTTAAAAATTAATCTTTTTAATTAAACATTTTTTAAAAAAATGTAAAATATATCTTTATTAATTTTTTTAATTAAAAAATAATAATTTAAAACATAATGTAATTTAAAAGAAAATAATTTTTTAAAAAGAAAAATATTTAATCTTATAAAAGGAATTCAATTTTTTTTAAAGAAAAAGTTTTAATCTTTCTAAAATTTTTTAACATTATATTTAAATTAATTTTTTGTTTTAAAAAATTAAATTCCTGTTGAAAGAATAAAAATATTTCTTTTTAAAAAACTGAAATCCTTTAAAAAATTAAAATTTAATTTGCTAAAAAATTTTGAATCTTTCTAGCAAAAATTTTAATCACTTTTAAAAATTAAAAATATTTCAAAAAAATTCAAAACTTGATTTAAATTTTTTTAATTAAAAAAAATAATTAAAAAAAAAATTAATAAAAAAATAAATAAAAAAATATTTTTGTGAAATTAAAGCTTTTTTTAATTAATATTGCTCATAAAAATTACTTATTTTTTTTAATTAAAACAATTAAATTTCCTTTATAAGATTAAACATTTTTCTTTTTAAATTAATTAATTTTTTTTACAAAATTAATTTTTTTAAAATTATTTTTTTAATTAAAAAGATACATTTCAAATTTTTTAAACATTTTTAATTTTTTAAAAAAGATAATTTTTTTTAGCAAATTAATTTTTTTTAATTAAAAACTAATTTTTTTAAATAAATCAAAATTTAATATTTACAAAAAATTAGTTTCTTAAAAAATTTTGATTATTAAAAAAATTAATTAAAAAAAAATTCTTTAAAAAATTTTTATTTTTTTAAAAAAATTAGTTGTTTAAAAAATTTTTAATTTAAAAAAATATATATGAAGGAAAAAATAGTTTGTTTATTTTAAATAAACATTTGTTGTTGTTGTTTTTTGTTATTGTAATTTTTAAAAATATTGTGCTTTATGTTTAATTAATTATTTATATATTTAATTTTTTTGAAAACATAACCTCAATTATTTATTATTTATTTTTAAAGAGAGTGAGAGCGAGAGAGAGTACTTCTGAGAGAGAGCATCTAGCTCCCTTGTGAAAATTATTTTTTTTTTGTTATGGAAAAAATTATAGTGGACTAGATTTTTATATATAGTTTTTTTTTAAATATTATTTTGTAGTTGTTGTTGTTATTTTTATTATTTTATTTTTTTAAAAAATTAAAAACTACTTTACTAGAATTTAATATGGCGGCTGAATTCTTTTCTTTGTACAAGAAAAAATAATTAAAAAAAAAATAAAATATTTTTTTTTTTTTTTTAAAAAAACCTAACCTCCCAAAAGTAGCTGAAGACAATTCTAACCTCAAAAAATTTTTTTGGATTTTTTTTTCAAATTCCCCATTTTTCCCGAGGCCTTACAATTGACTAAAACTACTTGTGGATACCCAGTGATTTGTATCTGGCCGTACCATTAACTATATAGGACCATAATCGCTTAAGGCCTGGCCCGGATGTTGATTACCAGGCCCGCCTGGTAGTGAGACCACCACAGATACGGCCCGCGAATCGACCATGCCGGGACCGGGCTGACCCTGGCCACCATTGCCACCGCCCCCATTGCCATAGACATTGCCGGGCGTGTTCATGCCCCCGCCCCCATTTCCACCACCACCACCCACACTACCATGCATTAAACTGCCAGGAGGAGCCCCAACACCACCAACACCGTGCATGCCACTGCCGCCGCCAACTGTACTATTACCCGCCGTGCTCATTAGCGTACCGCCGCCACCACCACCATGACCACCCAGCACGCTACCGCCGCCAATTGTACTGCCGCCGCCGCCGCCACCACCGCCCATCGTTGAAGCTCCGCCTGACTCTCCATGTCATACATGACTGGCGGCAGGCTGTTTCAAAACATGATGGTGCAAGTGGTGATGGCTGGTGGAGGCCACCGAGGCACCGCCCGCCTGGGTGTATGGGGTTGCCAGCAGTGATCCGGCCGCGGATCCTACTGGCATACCCATGCCAGAGCCAGCATAGGGATGTGGTATGGGTGGGCGTTGTTTGATGAGAGCCTGATTGGCACCGGTGCGATCCGGCTGGCCAAACAGACGTCTCCAGAAACGTCGCCAACTTTCCAATGTCTTGCCAGACCATATCCATACGCCGGATGTTATGCCCACCGCCAAGGCCATAAAGTATTTCAACATCAGTACAGAGTAGAGGGGTTTCCTGCCCGGACCCTTTATCTGGGCACAAGGGCAGGCCAGGGCCTTGATCCAATCCTCAAAATATGCAGCCTCATACAAATAACAGCCAATGACAATTGTGGCCGGGACGGTGTACAACACCGAAAATATGCCAATGCGGATCATGAGCTTTTCCAATTTATCTGCCTTAACGCCGGCTCCCACACCACCCTGCTGCTTGATGACAGATCTGATGCGGAAGAGAGAGACAAAACCAGCCATTAGGAAGGTGGTGCCAATGACGAGATACACAAACAAGGGAGCCAAGACAAAGGTCTTCAGATGATCCGGATTCAGGTTGCCAACATAGCAGATACCCAAAATGGGGTCACCATCCACAGCTGGGAGCAATAACACCGCCACCGATTGCACAGTGGGGATCAACCACGCCGCCAAATGGAAATACTGCGAATGCTTGGTAATGGCCTCATTACCCCATTTCAGACCAGCAGCCAGGAACCAGGTGAAACTCAAAATCACCCACCATATCGATGAGGCCATGCCAAAGAAATAGGTCATCAAAAACACCAGGGTACAGGAGTGGGGTCCCGTTGAACTCTCCTTCAACAAACGGCCATCACAGGCAATCTCCTCATTCTGCAGGAAATTCTTTGACAAATACCCAACCGATACCATGAAGTAACAGGCCGAGAGGAAAACTATGGGCCTCTCGGGGTATTTAAACCTTTCGGTGTCTATGATGAACGTGGTCAGTGTCATTAGGGTGCTGCAGAAGCACAGACCCGACCACAGGGTTATCCATATGCCGGCGAACTCCTTTTCGTCGTTTGTGAAGAACGGGCCCTTGCAGGGTATGGCGCAATTTTGAACGCCGGCGATTCTTGACACAGTCGAGTTCATGTACCAGGGATAGTGCATTGTCGGTGGTTGCATCATTTGGGCTTCCTTCCCCAGGAGTATTAGTGGTGGGCGACATGAGCATGTGCATTCCTTTGCGTTTGTTTTTTCTCCTAGGGAGCTTTGGCAGTTTTTTGAATTTTTTCCTTTGCATTTTTGGGAACCGGAGGAGCTGCCTGATTGTTTGCCACGTTTGCCGCCGCTGCCGCCGCCACCACCACCGGACATTGAGCCACCAGCACCACCGCTTGAACCATCTCCACGACCCGAGCCAGATGAGGAAGAGCCACCCGCTCCACCGGAACCACCCGAAGAACTGGAATCCGTATATGAAGGCTGTTCCATACAAAGATTTTCTGGATCACCATGAAAGGGTAAACGTTCGCAGGCCATACGTTCTGGCCACTCAAAGCTATATTGCTGCATAATGGGGGCACATCCTGCTCGGGCACGTTCGCAAACCGAACGACACACTGGCAATGGCTTGTGATAATCCTCCAAACAGATGGGTGTATACATAGAGCACAGGAAAAACTTTAAATCCGCTGAACATCTAATTTCCACCAATGGCCAAAATTGATGGACCTCCAGGCCAGCTTCATCCTGTGTTTCATGATTCATTTCATTGGGGAAAGAGGTCATGTTGTAACCAATTCCCCTGCACATGGGTATGGTGATTTCTTCACATCTTGAATTGGGATCTTTGGGTATTGCGGGAAGTCCAAAACCAGGCGCCGGGCTGACTTCCATTGAATGTAGCCCGCCCATGCCCATATTGCCAAGGCCACCAACTCCACCGCCGACGCCGCCGGCACCACCACCATTATCGCCCATGTGTTGCAGGCCGTCGGCGTGACATGTGTGTGGAGAGAGGGAGAAGATCAGTAACGCGATGAGTAGTGAAGAAGAGAGTAGGCAATGCCTTCGCCAGAGATTTGTTAGAGCTGTCATTATTGCAGGTGTTCTCATTGACGAGGATGTCATTTTTGAAAGTTGTGTAGATTTGTTGTTGTTGTTGTTGTTTTTTTTTTAATATAGGGGGCCAACTACCACCCTTTACGATTTGTTGTTGTGTTTTGTTTTTCTTTTGTGATAGCTGCGCTTTACTTGTTGTTTTCAATTAAGAGAGATATCCTTAAGAGCAAGAGAGAGCGTAAGAGTGAGAGTGTGAAAGAGAGCTGTTGTAGTCGTTTTATCTTTCGTTGATATATCCAAATTTGATTTCCAGCGTCAAATGTGAAGATTTTGAAATTTAAAAAATATCTGCAAAGAGAAGAAGGAGAAAAAGCGAATTAATATTTTGTGGATAAAAATTATATAAATTAATAATTTATATATAAGAAAAATAAAAATTAACAAGAAAAATATTAAATTAGTAAAAATTAGGATCCATAATTATAATTTTTTTTTTTTTATTTCAGAGTCGATTTACGCATGTCCGCCTGTCCATGTTAAATTGTAAACAAAGTACAGGTCGCATTTTTGGTTTGAATTGGATGAAATTTGACACAGCTCACTTATTTGGCCCAAGGACGAACCCTATTGAAATTGGGAAAAATCGGTTCAGATTTAGATATAGCTTCCATATATATTTTCGCCCGATTTAAGGTAAATGGTGCACCAAAGTCCCTAAATATGCTTCGATTTGCACGAAATTTGGCACAGAGTACTGAATAAAGCCTAGAATGATGTATGCAAAGTTTTGTGAAAATCGGTTCAGAGGTAGATATAGCTCCCATATATATTTTCGTCCGATTTTATGTAAATGGTGCATCAAAATCCTTACATATCTTTCGATTTGCACGGAATTTGGCATAGAGTACCTAATTAAGTCTAGAAAGACGTGTGTTAAATTTCATGGCAATCGGTTCAGATTTCGATATAGCTCCCATATATATTTTTGTCCGATTTCAGGTAAATAGTGCGGCAAAGTCCCTAAATATGCTTCGATTTGTACGAAATTTGGCATAGAGTACCTAATTAAGTCTAGAAAGACGTGTGTTAAATTTCATGGCAATCGGTTCAGATTTAGATATAGCTCCCATATATATTTTTGTCCGATTTCAGGTAAATGGTGCGCCAAAGTCCCTAAATATGCTTCGATTTGCACGAAATATGGCACAGCGTACTGATTTGAGCCTAGAATGATGTGTGCTAAGTTTCGTGAAAATCGGTTCAGATTTAGATATAGCTCCCATATATATTTTTGTCCGATTTTATGTAAATGGTGCATCAAAATCCCTACATATCTTTCGATTTGCACGAAATTTGGCATAGAGTACCTAATTAAGTCTAGAAAGACGTGTGTTAAATTTCATGACAATCGGTTCAGATTTAGATATAGCTCCCATATATATTTGCGTCCGATTTAAGGTAAATGGTGCACAAAATCCCTATATAGCCTTCGATTTGCACGAAATATGGCACAGCGTGCTGTATTAAGCCTAGAATGGTGTGTGTAAGGTTTCTAGAAAATCGGTTCAGATTTAGATATAGCTCCCATGTATAGTTTCGGCCGATTTTATGTAAATGGAGCACCATACTGCCACAATATTTGTCCGATTGAAACAAAATTCTGCACAGCGTAGTGAATTAGGTTCAAATGTATATAAGCGAAGTTTTGTTGGAATCGGTTCAGAATTAGATATAGCTGCCATATATAGTTTCCTCCGATTTTATGTAAATGGTACATCATATTGTCGATGTTTGTCCGATTGAGATAAAATTTTGCACAGAGTACTGAATTAGGTCTAGATTAATGCACGTCAAATTTTGTATTGGATTTTGTGTCGAGATAAAGTTTGGATAGTGCACTGTGTTTCGGCATTGTGGATGCCACGGTTGCCCGAAGCATTTTTTCATTGATTTCAGAATGGTATGTGTATGGGGTTTTTTTTCAATTGGTTCAAATATCTATCTAGATAGCACATTTAATTTCGCCCGATTACATCTCTCTGGTCCTCCAAAGATTCTATGCTTGTTCTATCTACAGTATATTGTAGATATTAACATCTCTTGTGTGTGTGTACCCAAAGTGGTGAAGGGTATCATATAGTCGGCCCCCGTCCGACTTTTGAACTTTCGTTACTGGTTAATGTTTTTATAATATATATTTTTTGATTGAAAATACCAATTTTTTAAAATTTTTATTGTTTAAAAATTCCGATTTTTTTGTTTTTTTGTTTCTTTTTAAATAAATTAAATTATTTATGTAATTTTTATTATATCATTATTTTTATATTATTTATTAAATATTTTCAATTTTTCATATATTTTTTTATATGATTAGATATTAAATTATAGAATTTTAATTTTTTATTATTTGTTATATATTTTTTTTATTTCTTTGTATTTTATGTTAAACACTAATGTTACTATTTTTTTCAACATTCACTTATTGGCACGTTTAAATAAATTAAAATAATATCATTTAATTTTTTTTTTTTTTGATATTTTAATTTGAATATTTTTATTTTTTTTCGTATTTTTTATATTGAAATATTTATATATTATTATTTTGTTGTGCAAAAATACTGTTTTTTTTAAATATTAACAAATAATAATATTAAAAAAAAAATTGGAATAATCCGTATTTTGGTTCGAATCTCGTATATAAAAATAAATTGAATTTTATTATTATGTATTTTTTTATTTGCATTTTAATTTTTTTAACATTTAAAATTTTCACTTGAGCCTAATCCAAATGTTGAATTAATGTTTTTTTTTTTTTAATTTTTATGCACCGAATATTTTTTATAAACATATTTTGTATTTCCATATAGGTATAATATTTACAATTTTGAATAGAATTTTTGAGAGTTTGAGTTTTTTTTTGTAATATTTTTGTATTTTTTTCAATGTATATTTTTACTCATTTTTATATTGAAATTTGTTCATTATTTTATTTATTTTTTTGTACAGATATATTTAACTATTTTATTTTTTTAAAGTCGTTTTTCCATATTTACCACTTTATTATTATTATTTTATTTAAATTATAAATAGTCAGGCGTTTTATATTTTTTTTTATTATCCATAATATTTCATTTTGTATTTTTATTTTATTTATTTATTTATTTTTTTTTTGAATATCCATTTGCACTCAATTAATAATCGTAGTAATATTCCTTTAATATTTTATTTATTTATTCGTTGTATTTTTTATAATTTTATTGTTATTTTTTTATTCGATTTTAACCTCCACAATGGCCATAAACCGATGATGGTTTTTTACATCTCCATTTTTAGAGAACATTTTGAAAATATTTTTTTCTTCATAATTTACACATTTAAACATATTTTTTCTTTTCTTGTATTTTTAGTTTTTTTTTTTATTTTTACACTTTAAATTAATTTATTTTTATTTTATTCTATTCCTGTTTTGTTTGTCTTATTGTTGATTTTTTTTATTAATTTTTTTTTGTAGGTTTTTATTTATTTTTTCTTTACATAATTTTTTTTTTTAATATTTTTATAATTTTAATATTTATTATTTTAATATTTATTATTATTTATATTTTATTATTATTCTTTTTTTGTATTTACACTTTTAATATTTCACATTTATAAATTTATTTTTTTTTTCTATTTTACTAGAAATTCTATTAAATTTTGCTTTTTTATTTGTTTTTTTTTCTTTTAATAATGTTTTAAATATTCTAGTCCTTTATTTTTTAATTTTTAATTATATTTTTATATACGTTTATTCATTTTTATTTGATTGTCTTTTTTTCTTTATTTTCTTTTTTTTAATTTTATATTTATTTGTTTTTTTTTAATTACACTTTTTCAATGTTTCATTTATTTTATTTTAAATATTATTTTTTTAATAATCATTTCACCCTTAATAATCACTGTTTTTATTCCATTCAAATATTTCTTATTTAAAATTATGTACCATTTTATTTCCAATATTTTCATTTCCATTCGAAATTCTAACCTCCAAAAAATACTTAAAATGCGTCAAGGAAAAAGGAAACAAAAACGGTGTTTCTCAATTGTCTTGTGTGCCCGTAACAACATTTGTTTACACCGTGTGTGTGTGTACCCGGCAATGTGTTTGGCTCTGTTTTTTTTTTTTTTGTAACGGAGCTCTCTACCGTACCGTTTAACATTTAACAACGAACTGTTTGCTCGGAGAATTTCGTAGCGCGCACTCCCCTCTTCGTAAACGTCGTCATCGTCCACAACGCAGCCACTTTTACAACAGAGTGAAAGTGTGTGTGTATACAGAGGAGAGCGGCAGAGGCAGAGAGGGAGAGTGAGTGTTTGGGGGAAGAGAGGGAATGAGTGATTGCGGGAAGAGAAGGAATGAATGAGTGACAAGGGGAGAGAGGGAGACTGAGTGTGAGTGAAGGGAAGGGAGTGCAACTGAGTGTGAGTGGGGGGAAGAGAGTGAGACTGAGTGTAAGTAGGGGGAAGAGAGTGAGAGCGGGAGAGAGGACCAGGTAGAGTGAGTGAAAATTTTCCAACCCATTTTTTTGTTTGGGAAATAAAATAACTCAACAATTTTCCCCGAAAAACACAACCAAAAAAATATCATTAGAAATATGTAGTTGTTGTCACTTCATCCTGTGGGTATTTAAAACACATGCACACACACACACATATGTGTATTCACTATCACAATTGTTTACTTATTGTTTTAAAAGCAAACGCCAAACGCCAGCCGTTATATTTGTGTCTCAACGTGTCTAATAACATTAGACGACTATGAACTGTGTGTTGTGTTGTATCAGTTGATTCGTGTTGTGATGTTGTTGTTGTTGCTTGCTCTCTTTCTCTCGTGTAATCACGATACTGTTATAACTCGTGTGTTATTCATATATGAGGCGAATGAAAGGGAGAGGGGGAAGATAAGGTGGGGATGGTGTAGCTGAGCATCTCAATAAAATAACATCAATCAAAATCAGTGATTCCTCTTTTATTAAATTTGACAGACATAAACGGCGGCCGAGCCAAGAAATTGGACACAACATGTTCTG